GCTGAAAGCTCTGGAGGCAGAGGCGCGGCTCAACCGGCCGCCGGGCAGATAACAGTAGCAGTAGTAGTAGTAGTAGTAGTAGTAGTAGTAGTAGCAGTAGTAGTAGTAGTAGCAGTAGTAGAAGTAGTAGAAGCAGTAAGCAGGAGTAGCAGTAGTAGTAGTAGTAGTAGTAGTAATAGTAGTAGTAGTAGTAGTAGAGTAGGTGGTAGGTGGTAGGCGGTAGTGGTACTAGGTAGTAGTAGGTCGACGTCGTTGTTGTTGACGTTTTGCTTTGTGCTTAGCATCAAAACATGGGTTCCGAACTGTGGCCAGCGCAGGACTTTTAACAACTTTTCGGAAGAGTGTAAATTTTGGGGAGCAGCGAACTACTTTGTTTCGTGATTTTTCGGCTTGAACGACAAGTAGCTTAGCCATGTCTCGCCGCATTGTATGTCTGGCAGGGGCCAGGGGAAGCAACCGCACTTTTGCAGATTGCAGGGGAGCAAAATGCTGAAAGTCCTGCGCTGGCCACACATTTGGTTGCAACCCATGTCTCAACGCTAAGCCTTCGGAGTTTGCTGTGCCTGAAACCACCCCCCAACGCCCCCCGCATCAGCCCATTTTCAAAACCAGCAGCCGCAGCAGCTTCCTCCAGCACGTGTGTTACCTCCAATACGACTTGCAGCTCAAAATTTCGAACAAGACCACGAATTTGCCAAGAGCTCAAGGCTGTGAAGCATCAGGCGACCATGCGCGTTCCAGGCATCACACAGCGAGGAACAAGCGTTTTTCTTGTTCAGGTGCCTGGCGCTTGTTATCCTCCTCACACCGGACTTGGGACGGGGTTGCAAGTTCAAGTGGGACAGCACACACCCTCTGCCAGCTTCTATGCGTGCCGTTTTCCAACCACTTTTTTTTACCGGCTACGTTGCACTTGCAGGCATGCTCTGGGAGTAGCTTGTCTCTGGATCTGGACCTTGAATACTAATTGGTGTGTGCTGCTCGTGTGCCCACAACGTGTTTTGACAAATTGGGATTGCCCAGTTGGGCTCGCAAACCGGGCCTGGACCTTTGTCTCTGGGAATGCAGGCCTACAGCGCACAAGGTACAGGAGGCAATTTCAGGATGACCTCCAAACCGAACCGCGGAATCGGCAAACCGAACTGTAGGAACCGAATCGTTCAGGAATCGAACCGCCCCGAACCGGAACAAACCCCAACCATGGGAAGGTTCCTATTCAAAATCCGGTGGCTTACAGCATTTAAAGGTACATGGGCTTAGGAAGTAGAAATTCAAGGAGGGCCACGCAATACGAACCCATATACACCCTGGCAGTTGCCACGCTGACTATGATCGTTACTACTACTATTATTGCTGTTACTATTTTTACAATCGTTATTACTATTACTTAGTCATGCTCTCTGAGGACTTGCTCCGGTTGCAGGCTGCCGTGGTCATGCTAATCATGCTATTATATCGTATACCAGCGCTACTAGATAATCACGGCCGGGGTTTCAATAAGTTTGGTGTTAAGTGCAGCGCACTTGCTGACACGTGGGGGGTATAGGGTGATGGGACATCTGGGCGGGATCATAATGATAATACTAGTTATAATGATAATACTATGTATACCATGTACGCACCTGAACCTTCTTGTACAATAGGAACCGGAGGAAGCGTGGAACCAAACCGTTCGACTCGCCGGTCAAAGGTTCATAGAGGGTTAGGTTCCTGACAAACCAAACGGAATGGAACCGTGGCCTTGCTGCAATTTGCGCAATGCGACGCGACACATCCCTTTTAATTGTGGATTTCTGCAGCTGGAAATGCTCAGAATGATTGCCTCCCATGCCTCCCTTACGCTGACAATCTATTGAAAAACTGCGGTACAGTATCAAAAATAAATAAGAGTTCGTTTCTTGTACCCCCCCCCCCAGGTGTTGACTGGAGCCGCTTCATGAAAAAGCTCCACCCAGTTGTGAATCCTGCGCTCTTGAAGCGCCGGCGCGAAGCTCGCTGCCACTAGGCTATACACAAGCTGACCGACAGGCTGTGATGGAACGGTGTAGCAGCAGCAGCGGCGGTTGCATCTTGTTGCGTCACTTGCGGGCCTCGACGCGAAGTCCTCGAAGTCGAGCGGCGACTCACTGCGTGCTCGGCCGGCCATCGCGTCGAGCCAGGGCACCTGGTCTATGGCTTATATAGGCGTTGCATAGGGATGAAAGAGGATGAAAGAGGGGTCATCTGGGGGATACACACGGTTATATAAGGGCATATCTGGTTTATAGGGGCAAACAGAGGCTATATGATAAAACACCATAATAAAGGAACATCACATGGAAAAAGACATGGAAAAAATCAAATGGAAACTGGGATTCAATCGGGGTTTGTAGCCATAAAAAGGCTGTCAAAGCTACAGTAGGCTTTTCTCTTGGCTACCCTGAACATCAAGGGAACCCTAAAAAGGACTTCCAGTTAAGCACAGCTGCACTGGCATTGCAAGGGAAGGATTGCAAGGGAGTACTGTAACATGGGTTCTTTGCTGAATTTGTTGGAAGGAAGAAATAACAGGTTTGCACAGCATCCCTCCAACACAAAAACGGTTTCATGAAAATCAGTGCAGGCACCTGTGCACGATTCAGCTACATCTGCGGAAGAGCCTACTTCTCCTCTCTTTAAGCCGCAGTCTCTCTGCAAATGACAAACCGTTCAACTGCAGGCCCTCCACCAGTGGGTCCGAATTTTCATGAACTCGTGTGGCACTCAGCGAGCCGTCAGTATGGCTTACACAAACTGAAGCGCAAGATTCTCCCTTGCGCTATTCAATCTGGAAAGTTTACCGCTACGGAAACGTCAGATCGGCTCCGCTCAAAAAAACTGCCAAGGAAAGGCACGACATGCTCGGGGCACATTTTTGTCTTGAGAACGTAAGACACCTGCTGAAGGTGAAACTCGCATAACACCGTGTTGCACGGCTGCGACTCCATGCAAATGTGGGTCTTGTGCAGGGCGGCTCAGGTGATCTGCAGGCAAGGCACAACAAGCACACGCAGCATCGCTTAGAACTCGCATGTAAATCCATGTTAACAGCTGACGGCGGAATGACGGCGCTTGGCTGGAGGGGCTTTACCGACTGCCTCGTCCGGCATGTGGCGCCGATGTGGCGGTCGGAGCGTCCGATGCTCCTCAGCAGACGTTTCGGACATGTACGTAGAGGGAGTTGGGGAGCTGTTCAGGAATACAAAGGCAAATGGATGAGCAAACCTCCACAGTTGCAATGCATAGTGCTATGATGATAGCTAGTGTTGTTCTTGTGCAAGTGTAATGTTGAGCTAAAGTTTGTGATTGCTACAGCTGCTGCAACACCACTTCCAAGCGGTTATCGGTTAGCTCCTTCAACTGAACCAGTTGAACTCCTGCATGTCACTAAGCTGATGCGGGAGATCGTCTTACTTAGACAGGGCTTAGTCATATCCTCAATTTCTTGAAAGTTGCCCAGAGAACCCTTTTGCACTTCCTACGTGGAAGCACCCTGTGATTAACGTGTGCTGGATGCCAGGCCGGATCTTCCGCAGCTCGGACCGCTGCTGGGACATCCGACCTAAGCAAGATTAACTTTCTGGATCCTTCCTACATCCCTATATGGCCCTGTATACACCAAGATATCCCTTTGAAGGGACCTAATCATTGGGAACCGTAATTAGGGAGCGCATGTAAGAAGGTGGTTGATCTTCTTGGGGGGGGTAAGGCAGGCAGAACCATCCCGAGGCACAACACATCACAAATTACAGTTTGCATCTCCATGATCAGCTTACATCAGTTGGACCTGTTTTTGTTGGAGGTTGTGGGGTGCTGGGTTGGGTATTGTACAGTGCGATTGAAACGCTGATGGTTGTAGGCTGGCAGGGTTCATCCCTCTCACTAGCATCCAATCAAAGTTAAGGAAGCTCCAAACAACCTGGCACGTTGATGTGATGTCAGTGTCAGACAAGCAGAACTGCACCGCGACCTCAACAGAGCAGAAGTTCTGGGCATGAAAACTTAGAACAAAGTGAGATTCCAGCGTACTCACTTTCGTGCTGGGGATCCGATGAAAGCTTGAATCCTTAAAGCCTATCTGGGATGCCGGCTTGAGAGAGTCAAAGCCTGTGAGCGGCAGAGGCCCCGTGCTCTTGAGCGAGGTTGCCTTGGGCATGGCATCGCATGGCGCCATCTGTAAGGTACATGCTACGGTATATCCACTCCGTCTACAATATCTCAACTTGAACCGTCACAATGAATCCAAATACAGGTCCGCTTGTTGCAGCTTGCTGACGCTCTGTTTGAAACAGCATGTTGCAAGCAACACTCAAGTCCCCGACCGTGGCAGCGAATCCCTTGCTGCTCGACGCTGGGTCTTAGCCATGCCAGTTCAGTTGCTCAGCGCACACAAAGAGTTCAAGGAGCAAGTAGCACACACAAGGCACAGCATGCTTTAAATTGAGACTGTGACCTACTTTCAGCCAAGTAAGCACGGCACCTTGTGTCAGAGCCATATCACCTGCATAAGTGCCGGGCTTTGCTGCGACGTGCTCATGACGCTCATGTCTAAGAAATACACACTATGTTTGACTCCGCAATAAACATACAAGAGAGATGCAAATTGACAAGAGAACTGGAAGCTCCAGTTCCTT